TGGGTGAGTGTGATTTCTTCTGATCAGTAGAAGTTGCTCTGTGGCCAAGGCTTATTCTGAGCTTGAATGTCACCCACCTTCCCATGGCATCCCTGGTGTCCCCTGGGTGCAGGAAGAATCATACAGAATCTGAGGACCGACCTCCCCAGGATCTGGGGGTGGGGTGCTGGCTGGACTCTGGTGACCCAGCCCCAGCAGCTGGGCCGGACTCAGCCCCTTTCAGACCTGCACCTCGGCCTCCAGACCTGTGTCACCAGAGCAGGGAAGAACTCTTGGCCGCCTACCAAATGTGGGGTCACGGTCCCTCGTCGCTGGCCCCATTGGTGGTTTCCTGTTATCTCTGTGCCCTGGAACCTGCCAGAGTGTGGGCAGCGCGGGTCCCATTGTCACTGCGCTGCTCCCAGCACCAGTTCCACTGCTGATTGTGCACACAGGGCCTAACGCCAGACGGGGCCTGAGGCATCAGGTGGCCCAGCAGTTTTATTTCATCAATTTGGGCGTTTAACTGTTTAATCACTTGTGGTTTTGGCCACCAAACCCTCGGTTGAAGCAAAGTTTCACACATAGTTCTGCACCTCCGCCCGGCCCTGCTCCAGGCGACCTCCAGGGCCCGCACAGGGGCGCAACCAGAGTGGAGCCACCAGCTCCCCCAGCGCCTCCTGTCACTGAACACGGGGCAGGGAAGGCCGGCTCTCGGGCAGCTGGGCAGAAGAGGTAACTGGGTGATTGACTAATCAGTTGGTGCAAAAAGCAAAACTCAAAAAACTCCATTGTGGAAATGGCTCCCGGGTGGATGGTGGCAGGATCCCCAGGTTGGCTGGGGACGAGGGGTCTTCTGGGTGAGAGGGGCGGATTCCCCACGGCATGTGCACCGCACGGGGCGCCTGGAACTCGCGGAGCGAGAGCTGGTGACAGCTCCAGGATACATTTATCCCCAGGTGCTCCTCCGCGAGTTATGGGTTTCGATATTTTTATTGAACTGGAAGCGGTCGATCTGGTGCACGTGGGGCAAGGATGAGGGGCCTGCTGCCGGCCGCCTCCTGGGGCCGCGGCTCCCCACCCCACCAAAAGCACACTGGCCTGGCTGAGTGGCGAGGCAGGAGGCCAGGCTCGCCCTCGTGGCCCATGCTGGAACACCCTGGGCTTCATCTTGGATTAATAGCCACTTGGAAAGGGTTTGGTCCCAAGTGTCGCTGCAAGAGAGAGAGATTGGGGGAAAGTACACTGGGCTGGGAGGCCATGTGGCACAGAGGTGACAAACAGGGGGACCGGCTGTGTGCTTGGGGTCAATTTCTTAACCTCTCTGGGCTTTAGTTTTTTTCACTTGTAAAATGAAGTCGGTAACAGTAGGGTTTACCTTACAGGGTCAGTGTGAGGAAGAACGGAAGCCAACCCTACAGAGTGCTGAGAATAGTGGCCAGCTCTTATCCAAGTCCTCAATAAATGTCAGTTGTAGCCGGCACTGTGACACATGCCTGTAATCCCATCAGCTCAGGAGGCTGAGGCAGGAGGATCATGAGTTCACCACCCTCAGCAACTCAGTGAGGCCTAAATAACTCAGTGAAACCCTGTCTCTAAATAAAATACAAAAATGGGCTGGGGATGTGGCCCAGGGGTGAAATGCCCCTGATTCATGACCCAGTACCCCCCCTCAAAAAAGTGGGTTGTTACTATTCCCGCCCTGTAGGCACTGCAACTTCAGACCCCAGCTGCCCACCCAAAGAGGCCAAAGTGCACTTAAATGTACGAGGATTGTATTCTAAAGACCTCTGGAGAGAGTTGAGAGGTTAGAATAAACTCCACTGCTCACTAAGAAGCATTGAGCTCTCCCGAGGCACCAGGTTCTTCCTGCTAAGCGCTTTGTCTGCATTTCAGCACTGACTCTCACTCTGGCCCCGTGAGGTGGGAGCCACTCAGCTCTGTTTTCAGGAAGAGGAAACCAAGGCGCCGAGGATTTCATGGCTCTGCCGGAGCCACACAGCTGGTGCACGGGCGAGCCAGGCTGGGATCCGAGGGCCAGCTCCTCTGCTCCTGCTTGTTGGTATTTCTCCCTGCACTTTTGTAGCTTCAGGAGACAATCTGGATGTGGATGTGGCCAAGATTGAGCCTGGGGACAATGTGGCACGCAACTCAGATGGGGAGAAGCCTGGCTTGGCCACAGTGGTTCCCAGGGCAGTCCACTGGGTGTGAGTGCTGGTGGCCAAGAGAAGGCCACAGCAAGGAGAGCCAGGGACAGGACCCTCTTTCTTGGGGACAGTCTAGTGAACTCGTCCTCCTGCGGGATCGGGGCCCAGGCACCCTGCTTCCTTGTGAGCCACTAGCCCCCCTCCCCTCTCTGCGATTTGGTTTCCTCCTGGGAAAAATGGGAATGCTAATTCCTGGCCACCACGAGGCCATCACTAACTCCCAACTCTGCCAAGCCGGGGTCCACTGTGCGTTTTGGCAATGTACGTGCATCACTCGGGCCACATGCTGCACAGCACTCCAAGGACTGTGGGATGACGAGCAGGACTCCTCCCCATCACCTCACTGAAGGGGCCTGAGGAATCCTTGCCATCTCGAGTGGACGGACATTGTACTGTGTCACCAGGAAAACCCTGCCGACGAGATGGAAAACTCTTTTTGCAAGTAGGAGTACTCTCAGTGTCCTGAATGCTGGTCCACCATCACCCTTTGGAGGTGCAGATGTTGGGTGAGATGTCAAAGGTCACTCCTTTGGTCTGTAAGTGAGCCCAGGTCTGTCTGAGGACCCCAGTTGGCTCACTGCCCCACGTGATCGCTCAGGACTCTGAACATGGACATTTGATGTGTGCAGGTCCAGCTCCTTGACCCTCAGAGCATCCAGCACAGCACCGGGCTAGGCCCACAGCCACTGCAGGGAGGATCTTGTTAAACTGCATTGAAGAAAGAAAGTCCCCAGCCTGCCCATTGTTCCTGTGCTCTCTCCCCACACCCAGGACTGGGGCCCACCCGAGAAGCCAGCTGTCAGGTTCCCTTGGCTCACCTGAATTACACACTCGTCACTAGCTGCCAGGTTGATGGCTCCCTGGGAATCCTGGTCCTCATAGCTTCCGAGTCTTTATAATGCACGGAAAAGCATCTCGCAGCCCGGCCCCTGCAGATGGCTCCTTTCCATCTCTGCCTGCCAACGGGCCGACTGTATGGTTGATTAGGGTAATGAGGCTTATGCAGGCTTCCTCTGTCCCTCCCCAGCTCCTTGGCTCTGAATGTTAGCCCACTGTCTATCAATACTGTCTGGCACCAGAAGAAAGCCCCTCTCCCTTCCTGCACCCAGCATCTGGTTGCCTGGAAACCAGGACAGAAGCCTGGAGCATCTTGGGTTTCTTTTTAATTTCCCTGCCAGGTCCCGAAAGCAAGCAGTGTTTGTTTTAAGCAGAACCTTTGTGTGTGGCAGGCTTGCCTTAACCTTGACTGGAATGATTTCATCAACCTGCGTCAATGTGATGCAGAGAGACAGGGACAGACACTCTGGGCTTAGTGTCATTGGGTTATCGATATGCAAAGTCATTATTAATAGTGAAGGCTGAAGATGGATTGTCTCAGTGGGAGCCAGGACTAGGATCAACGTGAGCGTGTGTGTGTGCGTGAGTGTGCACATGTGTTAAAATTGGCAGCCTGGTGAACTGCAGCTTGCCGTGGCCACGTGCAGAAGGGAAGAGAGATTTTCCTTTTTTTTCTGGCAGAACAAAAGCTTGTCTTGAAAATAAATGTCCTTCTGACTTTGCTTGACAAACGCTACACAATTCAGGGTAAAGGTGCCAAGACTCTGCTTGGCTGGTGCCCAGCTGTGCTTCGGCAGGAAGGTGGGTGATCTTCAGACAAGCCACATGAACAGTCATGGATAGAAGGAGCCCCGCCCTGTGCTTTGGATGAACACTGAGAGGGACAGAAAGCCCTTAGGACCAGGACTGGCACTCATGGCCTCTGACGTGTCCTGGCTTACACCACCTGGATGCTGCATGCGCCCAAGGCTGAGAGGCATTGCATTTGTGGTACCTGGGGTTGGATTCTCTCTTGCCAAGATGGCCCTGTGTTCCCCAAATATGACATCTTTTGGAGAATCCACCAAATCGGGCTCTACTGGGGAAGCTACTCCCCAGGGATGGTGAGCCCTACCTCTTGCCTCTTGCTGCACCTCTGCTCCACAAGTGT